CTACTGAGCATATGTGAACTTTGGTTTTCAAAGACCTATAATTTGGCCAAACTTAGATTGTTAGAGGGATAACAAAGGGTGATCTTGCATACCAAATTTCAAATTCCTGTTACAAAGCATAGAGGCCCTGTAGGTTTCCTTTGAAAAGGTTGCAAGTTTTTTGTATTACCCATCTAAAAACCACACAATCTTTTGTTACCATAATCTTGCCCATGAGAACATCTGAAATAGTTGGCCAGAAACTTCCCAAACAAATTGTCTGAAATATACCCGATAGAGAATATATTTCAGCTGTATGGCTGAAGTTTGGCAAATTTATAGGAAATTGGAAACAAGGCCTTGTGGAAAGTGTTGAATGGCTAGATAATGCTGCCTCCTCTACCCATACATATTTACTGAGTACACTATGTATGATAATTATATTTATACATAATAATCTGATAACTTTAGGTTGGAAATGTATGCAATTCCCAGTCTGATAATATATCCTTTGAGGGAAGAAAAGGAATTGAATCAGACCAGGAAACAAAATATGACTTTTATTTTTAAAACCTCATGATTTGCAGGGATCTAACTTGAGCTTTTTGAGTTTGGGGGTGAAGCATGTTGAACACTAGTTAGCAAGTTTGGGTTTGGCATTACGGCATTTTTACCACAAAAACTGTAGCTCAACACTGCTCAAGCAGTGTTGTTTTCTATTCTGCTATATATTTGAGAGTTTGTGTGTCTGAGTCTGTTATTCAAGAACTCCTTCTAAATAGAAAGAGCTAGGACCACCAAATTTGGTATGTATCTTCCTCTTATCATAACTTAAAGCAAGGTAAATGTTTATGCTAGTATAATAAGACATGAGAAAATCAAATTCCAGTCACAAAGTGGAAAGGGAGAAGTCTGATAGGAGGGACAGTTAGACTGTCGAGTGACCACAGGGGGCAGCAAGGGGCCAGAGAGGGGACTGGGACAGCTGTAACCCCATTGGGCCAATAGAAGGCAGGGTGGAGAAAGGACAGCAATCTACTATATATATTCAGAGTTTCTATTTGTGTGTCTGTCTCCCAGCCAAGGGACATGAACCTCTCTCCCAGCTGTGCTCACTACAGCGGCCATGAAAAGGCACTTCTGACCTGGTCCCAAGCTGTTGCAGTGAGAGGGGCCTGGATTTATCCTTTCTTCAAGGGCAGCCTACATAGTAAACTTCTCATCCCCAGTCCCACCCTAGAACAATGATTTAAAAGAAGAAAAACAAAATTTATTTGAATTAAGGACCCAAGCAACACCTGATCAATATTATAGGTTAAATTAAAACTTAAATGTTATTAACTTTAAAAATTAAATGGTGCTTTTCAACACCTACTTCAGTGTTTTTGCCACTTAGCATGTTCAAGATTAACTACTTTAGTAGTAATTTTACAGAGAAGAGTGTATTTACTCTAGTTTATTGTATTTGGATCAATCTAAATGAATGGGAATTCTGAGGGTTTTTTTTTCTGATTTTAAAATAAGCTATATTGTGTAGGCAACTACAACAAAATGCCATTAAGCACCTTTTAAAATATTTAAAACATTCTGAATCAATTAATGATTATATGCACTACCATAATACGTACACCTCTTTATTCTGCGTGCAGAGCTATTGTAAAACAAAATTTGCATTGCCTTAAACATCTTTCTGTGAAATTTCACTGTGCCCAACTATATTTAAGCATCTCATCTCAGTTTAAGTTTGGTGTATTTGGATCTAAAGAAAACAAGAATTATAGACTTTTTATGACGTAATATGTAAATATAAACTCTGAATGTGGGCTTAACACATTTTTTTTAAATGAACTATTTTGTGTTGTTACTTTCACTTAATTATTGGAACTAAAAAGTCATGGAGTGAAGTTTCAGACAAGAACTGTAGTTTTACAAATTAACAGACACTTCCCTGCTCCAGTCCTGATCTCTCAATGTTATTTTAAATTATCTCTAACAATCTTTCAGGACAAATCCTGAAACAGATTTTCTGTTTTCAATACTTTTTGGAATTCTTTATTCATAGTTTCAAGAAATGTGTTCTTAGCAAATTGTATTAAACTTCAGTAAGTGTCAATTAAAAGAATGAAGTCTCTCCTTCCTTTTATGTTGGGTAACCTGCTTTTCTTTTAGTTTCTGACCTGAAAGAACAGCATGTTTCTACAGTCATATAGTCTGTCAGTTTAATCCCCACAATATGAAATTAAGGTGATCTTCAGTAAGCTTCTTTCTGCATTAGCTAAATATCTAGTCAGGAGTGACAAGCTTTAATTTTTCTTTTCTTTTCTAGTTAAGGCTGCGATGTTGCTAGAGTTCCAGTTAACCCTTTTAGATAATTTAATAATGTCACCTTAGAACAGTGGTTCTCAAACTCTTTGGCCTGTGGACCACTTGGCTCAATGTAAACCTTTCCGTGGGCCACCAGTTGCTAATGGAAAGGCACCATTAATTACGTAATTATGCCTGAGCCATTTTGCTAGTGCTGTAACTAGGGATACTGGTTTAATTTAAATTTTTAAACACAAGTGTTTTATCTTTCTCACATTACTTTATTTAAAATGAAGTTTAATAAACTAACTATTAATTTATGTTCAACACAAAAGGTTTCAATGTTTTATATATGGCAGGTGTGGGGAATCTTTTTTTGTCAGAAGCCACTGATCCACATAAAAAAATCAATTGGGGACCACATGAGTGAGAAGCAAAAAAAACTCCTCCAGAATCCCCCAACCTTCACTGATGTAGCCCCCAACTGAGACACCTAACTCCTCTGGTGTTCCAGCACCATGGAACGAAGGGAAGGGACAGGGAGGACTGAGGTTCAGATTTGCTTTCTTGGGGTTCTGGAGTTATGGGATTTTAGGCTCTGGGGTGGGGACAAAAATGAGGGGTTCAGTGTGCAGGACAGGGCTGCCAGTGAGTGGGATAGGGATGGGGTGCAGGTTCTGGGAGGGAGGTGTGGTGCAGAAGGGAGGTAAGGATGCAAGATCTGGGTAGGAGGTAGGGTGCAGAAGCAGGCTGGGAGTATGGTGTCTGGCCAGGAGAGAGGGTGCAGAGTCTGGCCAGGAGGGAGGTTTCAGGAGCAGACTGGGGACAGGGTGTCTGGCCCGGGGCAGGAGAATGGGGGCAGGGAGTGCCTGGGGCTAAAGCTGAGGGGCAGAATGGCTGGGGGGGTTTAGGGAGATGGGGGGGGGAGGGCGGGGTGCCCCTGGGAATAGGGCTGGGGTCAAGGTGGCTCAGGGGGGCGGTTCAGGGAAATGGAGGGGCAGAGAGCCTGGGCATGACACAGTAAGGTGGGGGTGGGTGGCGTAGGTGATTCCTGGGGTGTCCAGCCTTGCAGGGGGTAGGGTTGGGCAAGAGTCCAGTCCATGGCACCCTCCCCCCCCCGATCTAGTCCCTGTGGGTGCAAAGGCCCAAAGGATCCCAAGCCCTCACCTACCTTCTGCGTGTGCCAGGTCCTCAGCCGCAGTGTTGCCTCCTTCCACCACTGCTTGGCCCCACGCAGCCCAACTGGCTGCCAGCCCTTCACTGCTCTTACCATGGTGGTGGCGCTCCTCCACGTGTAGCTCTGCAGCCTGCACAGAGGAGTGTGAGTTTGCTTTCTTCACCTCCCTGCCTGTCAGCCAGAGCTGGTGCTGCAGACTCACAAAGCTGCAGCAGCAGTGCAGGCTCCCCGCTGCATTGGAAGGTGCTGAGCCCCCACCTCAGCCTGCCTGGGAGGCAGCAGCGGACCATTAGTGGTCTGTGGACCTCACTTTGAGAACCACTGTCTTAGAAGAATTTCAATTACAGTTGTAGTCTGACTAAAATTAATATAATTTGAAAGATAATTAAGTGAACTTCTTTTTAAATAATTTAATATTTGTAGTGAAACCTTTGTCTGCAGTTTGGTGACTAGGAATGTAATAGTGTAGTCGATTAACCAATAAGCAAAAGCTTATAGTACATTCATTTCCCTCCTCTCCCTGCCAGTTAAATTTTTTAGCAGCCTGGCCAGCAGCCTGGCTCAGTCCTGGCTTGCAACAGGTCCAGGACCTACCCCTGCTGCAGCTCTGCATTTAAAATGTATTAGGAACTGGGCAGCAGGCAGCCTGGCTCTGTCCTGACTCATGCCAGACACTGTGGCTCTGCATTTAAAGTGTATTAAGAGCCAGGTGGGCAGGAAGCATAGCTCAGTTCCAGCTTGTGCCAGGTCCGGGAACTCAAACCACCCCTCCAGACAGGGGCTTCTGCCACCCGGTGCTGCTGTCTCTTTATCAGCTGGCTTTTAAATTGGCTCCCCTTGTGGACCAGCTCCCACCTGGCATCCTGTGCTGCAGGAGCTCCTTGGGAGTGAGGCTGGAGTGCACTAACTAGCTGCTGGCCCTGCCTCTGGGGACTATAGAATAGTTGATTAACCAGTAAGAATTTATGAGGTTACTTGACAATTTAATTAGCCAATATTAACATCCCTATTGATGACCAACTCAACATATGGAAAAATTAATGGAATAATGTGAGATTAGATCTGACAAAGCAATTAGAGAAAAAGTTGGATCCTTCATGCTGAAAATCTTGAAAGATTATTTAATGCATATTAAAACTTTGCTTGGTTTCTAAATTGTTATGGAATTTTTAGCTATTTGCAAATTATGACACAACTTTTCCATCTTCAACACACTTGTATACATTTAGAAATATTCTAGATTTGGAGTGCTAACCAAACTTGACACAATATCCAGGTACTTCTTTTTATTATAGGTTCAGGTGCTCGTTTTATTGATAACCCTTCTATTATCATTATTGGTTGGTGTTCAAGGACAGATGTATTTACATTTCTTTATATTATAAAACATGTAGCTTTTAGGGGATCTTTATCTTGTACAGAAAGAAACACAGCTTTGTAAATGTCTGTTTAGATTGTTGTTTTGTAATGGCAAACCCCACTCTGGGATGTAATTATGAAATTATTATAAGACTAATGAGTTTTTTACTGTTTTTTATAGAATCTTATTGCTTCTCGACCCTCAATCCAGTTTCAAGGACTCCAAGGGGTGAGTGTTTGTTTTCTCTTTATAACTTAGCAGATAAAATACCTTATGTAAAACTTATTTCTTTCTTACACATTTGCTTTTTTTGCTTTTTTACTTCTAGAAGTGCTCATAATTAAGCATGCAGTAAGTAACAACTAATGTGAATCTCACAAATAGTTCAGAAAAGAATCAGTTACCTCTTAGTAAACTCCTTTTCCTTTAAATGGATTATTTCACATGTATTTCCCCTTAACTCTTCTCATTCATTTTTAGAGTTTAACTTATATTGTAAATCAGCAGTTCAGATAGAATTAGAGTGGTTTCAGAAAAAATCACAAATCTGCTTCAGAAGTTTAGACAGGCAAGTTCTTAAACTATTGTCTGAGCCATCAATGGTATAGCTCTTCTTGGAATTCTGTAAAATGAAACACTTTGAGTCTGCTGGTGAAGGGTTATGATGAGGATGGGAGTGGAAATGGGGTCTGTGAACAAATTCTTCTTTTAAGTGATCCATTAAATGAAACGTTACGAGACTTAGTGCAAGAAACAAACTTGAGTGCAGGTTTTGATTTCCAGATATATTTTCATGAGATGAAAGCATTTTAGATTTTCTTAAGGTGAACATTAACCAACCTCTGTGGAAATAGCTAGACATACAACATTTCATAAATTTGTAGTTCAATAAAAGATCAGAGCCTATTGTAAGGCCAATATAGTTAAAATGGCAAGAAAGAACGTGTTAGTGTTTAAATTTTAAACTGAATCACGTATTTTCTTCTCTTCTCCGTCTCTCCTCCTCCCTCCATCATCTCTTTTCATTTGTGCAGAAGCTAATGTGACTGTTAACTTATTCTTATGGGCTATTGAAATTGTTCTTAATAGCTGCAAAGGAGAAATAGGAAGATTTGAGGTTACTGAATTGGTGATAGATTTAACTAACATTTAAAATCTGTATTGATGTTGGTCCCAGTATATTAGAGACACAAGCTGGGTGAGTTGATAGATTTTTATTGGGCCATGTTCTGGTAGTGAAAGAGACAAGCTTTCAAGCTTACATCAATCTTCTCTTAAAGTCTATTTATCATGGTATGTCAGATACTGATTTTTTTTTCTATAAGTGAAGTTCTTAACAGGTATAATTTGTAAATGATTAAGACAGTTTGTCTACTTTACTGCCTAACCAGTTTTAATGCCATAAAAATGTACTATATATTTTAGTTTATTAATCAAGAACAGTTTTGGAGACCACTTCCCTACCCCTTAAGAGACTGTTGCAATACACTGGAGGAAAAATGCGTTCTGTATACTGAATGCTACAGTTCTTTTTTTTTTTTTTTTTTTTTTAGACAGGATTTAGCAGTGTATCCTGCATTATTTGCCTTTGCCAAATTTTAAGTCATCAAAAGCACTGATGGATTTGCAGTTGCTAAACTTCTAAAGTTGAACTGACGCTTTTATATTAATTTAAAATGTCCAAAGGTGACTAATCTGTAATTCAGTTGTAAATATTCTTAACAAATATGAACAATGTAGTTCAAAATGGACACATCTTCACTTAATTGTTCCGTGGCTGAATTCCACATTTGGGGTTTCTTTCCCCTGAGATGGTTGATGCCAGAGCTGACGTCTAAAATGGAATAAAGAATGCATCTGCTAAAATACCTCAGCTGTTTGTTTTCAGAGAAGTATGCATGGGAGCATGGGCTTGATTATCAAGAAAAGGCACTTCAGGTGATCATTATAAATCTATTTGTAATAAGTTCTTATAAGTGTGTTTCATTAATGGCTTAATGTCTAGAAGTTTCCTCTACCATAAATTAAAAAGGTGTTGCATGGAGATATACTTATGGTATACACATGGTATTTTAGTTTAGTACTATTATTCATTAGGGATGTTAGATATTGTTTAATTGAATAATTGTGAAACTGCACAAAATCTTACCTGTTACACAATTTTCCGGCCTCACTCCCAGAGAACTCCCTGTCATCCCACACTGCTGCCAAACAAGGGGAGCAGGCTCCCAGCTCTCAGTTTGGCATTCCAAGTAAAGATAATATTGTGACCTTATTCAGACACTCTTCAGTTTCCAGAACAAATTAAAGGTTTGGAAAGAAACAGTATCAAAATACTTCACCCACTTTCCCCATCTCAAGAAAAAGGTAAACATATTCCTTGAAACAGATGTAGAAGATCATAAACTCTAAGGTTATATCTAGACTGCTCCTTCTTGTGCAAAAAAATGCAAATGAGGCAAAGCGTGGAATATTGCTGCACCTCATTTGCATAATTAATGAGGCTCTGTTTTTGTGCAAAAACTCCCTCTTGTGCAAGAGCCATTCTTCCTCTTCCTCCCCCCACCCCCCGGAAGAATGGCTCTTGCGCAAGAGGGGTTTTGTGCAAAAGCGGAGACTAATTAATTATGCAAATGAGGCATGGCGCTATTCCATGCTTTGCCTCATTTGCATATGTTTTTGTGTTTTCCTAAACAGTGTAAACATAGTTTAGGAATACAGAATTAAATTACAAGGACTGCTTGACTTTTAGGCCAGGTTTGATTGAAGTCTTGCAGAAGCTGAGGTCCTACTTTGCCTTTCCCAAAAGCCATTCATGATTGATGTGATCAATGATGGCTCTCACATTTCCCAAACTGTGATTACAGAAACATCTTCTGTAAAAATGGAATTGTTAGATCTCCAAGAGGGCAAGGCTCTAAAGATGTCAAAATTACAGAATACAATCAAGTTCTGGAAGCAAGTGCCAGGAACAAAGTATCCTTAACTCAAGATTTGTATGCAAGTTATTTCAATTTTGGAACAACATACTGCTCTGAATCACTGAAGTCAGTGATGCAATTTGAAAAATCACATCATCATGCAGTCCTTATAAATCAATATCTGACTGAATTCCTCCATATTATCTTGACAACATTATCAACTGGATTTCAAAGACTTAACTAAGATGGGGATCCACAAAGCCACTAGCTTTAGCAGTAATTAGCCATGTGCAAAGGCAGTGAATGCATTGTGACTCTTGAACTTCTGAAGACATTGTATGTGGCTTTGGAGGGTCAGTAAATTCAGCTACCCTGTTTTAAACAGTATATACTTTATTACCTGTTGTATAGGTAGGGACCTCTGTACGCTGAGGCATGGTAGAATTAAATACTGGGTCATATTCCCATCAATTCAGTAGTGATTTGGTGCTGAAGTCTGTGGCAGTGTAAATGTATTTTTTTAAACCTTCAGGAAAATGAACTATGTTTGATTATAACCTCTTAAGAAAAGCTTTCCATTCAACGCAAGTTGCTGCTTAACTTCCAGTCAGACAGGAAACAGCACTGGTACCTTTTAAATAAATACGTCAGGGAATACTCTAGAGTTTCTTCATATGTCTGCCCTTGATTACATAAGGACTGTTGTACTCCTTTGTGAGTATTGCAGTCCTGAGAGAAGATGAGGGCTTATGTTGATTCTAGGTTGTGCAAACCTATACATATGAGAAATGAAAGTCTGAGCACTGGGGATGGAAAGATAAGGCAAGAAGAGGCCAATAGATGACAACTCTTGAATAAGACCATTCTACTTAAATGGCAAGGTGCAGGTTACAAGATATCAAATCTGTTTCCAGCAAAAAAAAAAAAAAAAAGTTTGTCTGCCCCAAGGATGGATTTGAGAACTCATAGGACATTGCTGATAAACCAGTGTTCCTGGTTTCCAAACAATTAACAATAAAGGCTATGTTGGACTGGTTCAGAATCTCAGATTGCCTTGTATAGTTAGCCTTATTGGTGAAATGGTGGGAGGGGGGAAAATAAATCAAAACATCAAATTGAGGGATGGAATACTGATTACTTCCAGTTTAAAATACAATCTGGGGAAAATAAACTTGTTTATTCTGCCCAGTGAAGAGAACTTTTCAGATTGCTAGAAAGTTTAGACATTTCTGTGATTATAAAGTTCAGACAGTCCTCTATATACTGTGGCAATGAGTACCTTACAATAGTGGTATATTATAAAGGCAATCATTCAGAAAAGAGTTTGCTTTTGAGGCTGACATGGTATGGCAGCCGTGCTACTATTTTTCCTGTGATAGGATGCACAATAACTAGCTAATTTTACATAAACATTAAATTTAGCGCATTTTATAGACTTTTCATGCAAATTTAGGTGCAGTCTGTAATGTAAGCATTACATAACCTTTGTCTAATAGACAGCCGGCATGAGCTATAATGGTTGGAAGATGAAACAAGACAGATTTGGACTAAAGATAAGCAACGCAGTTTAAGAGGGAGAGTAATTAACTATTAGAACAATTTTCCAAGATCTGTGATGTGTTCTCCATCACTGGCAATTTTTAAAACAGAGAAGGCTGTTAGAAATTACATGCCCTACTTCAAATAGGAATTTATTAGAGCAATCCTATATATTAGGGTCACAGTGGTCCATTCTGGCCTTAATCTATGAACTAAAAAGAATAAGACTTGCTTTCTTCCCTGCTTTCAAAAGGGTGCCGTAACAGTGGAAACTGAGAGGATATATTTCTTAAGGCTCTTCTCCCCTTGCTGCAGTCACAGCCCCTAACAAAATGTTGGCCCAAGAGCAGAACTTGATTGCACTGAAGGAGTCTGGTGCCCACTGTAATTGGAGAAAGTACAGAAACTTCTAGTCACTCAATACAAAACAACAATTCATGATATTAAAAGATGGCAAATTGAAAGCTGAAATCTTTTTTTCACACACAACACCATTAGCTTGTAAATCTGATTCCTATAAAATATTGTTGAAGCTGCGAGTTTAGGACTATTTGAAGAAGCATTGATCAGTAAATGGATAAAAATATCTAAAGAGTCACGATAGCAAATATTAATTTGTATATGCAACTGATTTGTTAGGAATATAAACACTCATGCATCAAAGTATGGCTGACTCCTTGCTAATAGCAATTAGGAGAAGTCCTCGGTGGCAGGTTATTTCAGAACAGACGAGTTCATGGTTTCTTGAGCCTTTTTTTAGAGCAGGAT